GAGAAGTGCTTGTCCATAAATGCACCAGGTGCTCGTAAACCTTCATTTCTATCTTATTTGCTGAGTCATATCTGTTCCAGGAGGCCTTGTGTAGTCTGCTGTTAATAGCACTATAGGCAAATGGTTGTTTTTGAACCAGGTCCAAGTATAAATGCAGGAGGTAAATGCTACCTGTCGCAATGGGTCTTCTCTCTCTAATTTTCTCTCCTTCGATTTTTCTCTCACTTTCTGTCTTTATGGGACTTCATAGTGTGATATTCAATAAACAGGATGTTAGTAAGGAGTCAAAGTTAATTAGAGTGTGCCTGGCATGGCTCCACAGACCCAGGAGAGACTACATGGGGCCACGATCAGGGTTTATAGGGCACTTGGAAGTAAATAAAGAGAAGAACGCTGTGCTAGCTCATCTCAGGGGTCCGAGTCTGCTTTAAACTTCGACTTTCCCAACAGACAAGCATTTGTTATGATGGTCTGTACAGGGTTTGTTCATTCAGTCGAGTCCTGAATCTACATTGTCCCTCGCTCACTCTCTCTGCCAGAGACTTTAGTCAGAATAGACACTATACAGTATTTAATTGGTCACGAAAAAAAAGAGGCTGTGAAGGATTGAAGCAAGTCAAATTGGGATTTGGGAGGAGGATGATCTATGACAGTGGTTCTCAATTCCAGGCCTCGCGACCCCCCGCTCTGCATATTTGCATATTTTGCATGTCTCTCTTATTTAACACACCTGATTCAGATAACCAGCTCATTAGAAGAGAGCTCCATGCATGAAATGTGTTCCGATTTGCATGGTCCCTACACAGTCTTCATTGCTCCCTATTCCCTGCACCCTACACTCTGCAGTAAATGGGTGCCGTCAGAATGAGAGCCAAACAGCTGATAAAAGCATCACAATAATCTGCAGGTAATTCACATGACTCCAGTCCATCAATTATCATTTTGTGAAATGAAAAACTGTATTTTCGTAAGAAACAAATTCCATCATTAAGACTTTTTCAACTTCAAGCCATACCTTTTGACTAAAATGTGAGTTCTTTATCCATATAGTATTGCTTTCGCCAGTGATGACTACCGATACTATGAAATCTTTACATTAATCAATGTTGTTGTATCTTTAATAGGAGGCATGATGATGTGACTTGCTTATAAATATATACAATTTTGAAGAATAATTCTTATTGTAACAAAATGTAACATTCATCACATTTGTTACATTCATTCAAATGTAACAACACAAAATGTCATCACTTTGATATATATATATATATATATATATATATACAGTGGTGTGAAAAAGTGTTGGCCCCCTTCCTGATTTCTTATTTTGTTGCATGTTTGTCACACTTTAATGTTTCAGATCATCAAACAAATTTAAATATTAGTCAAAGATAACACAAGTAAACACAACATGCAATTTTTAAATGAAGGTTTTTATTATTAAGGGAAAACTAAATCCAAAACTACATGGTCCTGTGTGAAGAAGTGTTTGCCCCCCTGTTAAAACTGTGGTTTATCACACCTGAGTTCAATTTCTCTAGCCACACCCAGGCCTGATTACTGCCACACCTGTTCGCAATCAAGAAATCTCTTAATAGGACCTGCCTGACAAAGTGAAGTAGACCAAAAAATCCTCAAAAGCTAGACATCATGCTGAGATACAAAGAAATTCAGAAACAAATGCGAAAGAAAGTAATTGAGATATATCAGTCTGGAAAAGGTTATAAAGCCATTTCTAAAGCTTTGGGACTCCAGCGAACCACAGTGAGAGCCATTATTCACAAATGGCAAAAACATGGAACAGTGGAGAACCTTCCCAGGAGTGGCCGGCCAACCAAAATTACCCCAAGAGTGTATATACATATAGTATATGTAATATTCCATTAGCTGGAAGAGCATGGCACTAGCAAGGGCAAGGCTGTGGTTTAATTCCCAGGCAAGAAACTGATAAAACTACTGATAGCATGTTTTACTTGAATGCATTTTAAGATGTTTTGGAGAAAAGTTTCTGCTAGTTGAATTGAATTTGGCAGAACTCTGTTGCAGATTTTTAATGGCAGGTCATTAATGCCAAATTAACAAATTCCTCGCTTATCAACTGGTTTTTGGACTACCCATCTGCATCTATTGTCAGTGCAGCAGTGTTCTATTTGTCTTATGTAACAGAGCTGCTGTGAAAGGTCTTCTCATGCTTGTGAAATTCTAAAGTCAGGAGAATTTGTCGTGGATAAGCATAATAAGGCTGTCTGTGTCTTTTTCTGGTGTTACGTGGCCGATGTTGGAGACACTTTCTCCTTTTGGCCCCAAACAGATCTCAGGTTACAGGGGCTATTCTGTTTCACAAAGCTGGGCACGTTTGTCTGGGTAACTCAAAACACTGGGCCGTGAGCTGTGGAAAAAGACTGAGTCATCCGGCTGTAGATCTTCTCTCCAGCGGAGATGCGCGCTGGGAAATGGTGTGGACAGCAGTGCAGGATGATACACACTATGTCAGCCATACCATGTGTGCTAGACCGTCCACAGCCATGTAGTTGCTTGGCAGGCACCCACATGCAGAAATTCTCACAGTATCAAGCCAAGTCGAAAAGCCAAGACATACAGCTTCACCCTCAGAATCCAGTTCTCCTGCGCTTTTCTCCGTATTGCTCCAGAAATGCAAAAATTGGATTCCTCTGGGTATCTCATGCATATTCTTAGACTCGCTGTTTAATTTGATAATGAGCATGTAGGGCGCTGTAGAGTACGGTTATGGTTAGTAGCAAGGCTAATGTTACTGGCGAGGAAAGCGCAAGTTCATTATGAAATAGATCCAGTTGCTCGTTTGCTTCAATGGCAGAAAGATTAAGTTGCAAGTGTTGTCAAGTTGCTTTAGTAAAAGTTGTGCTGACAGATGCTGTCTGTATCTGTTGATTTTTATGTGTCACTGGCATAGGCCTGTGGCTGTATTTTATATTTTGAAAATTGCATACTTTGAAATCCTTTGAAAAAATTTAGATAACCTATCAGGAAAATTGTTGACTGTTTTAAAAACTGTTATCATTCTATATGGTATTATCACAAATGGTATTCTATATGTTATTATCAACAGTTTAAAATATACATTTTAGTTTTAGTAACTTTAAAAAAACACCTGATTAAATTAAATGTATTGATATTTTTCAAATAAATAATTATTTATATTTAATTTAATTTAAATTAATATATATTAATAATTAACCATGTCCTAGGCAAGCCTTCTGCGAAGAAAGACGTTTTTTTTTTTATATATATATATAGATTTTTCTGTATGAATATGGTTTAGTAATTTTTTTTGAGTTAGGTGACAGAAAAGTTAAAAATGAAGCTATGGTGTGTCTGAAATTTTTTTAATAGGTTATCTAGAATGCTTCCAATTATTTTGAACTTGCATGGTAATTGTAGAGGTACCGAATACATGTCTACTCTGGCCTGAACAATACGCTTTGTGCTATATTGTATTAAATGAGTAGCAGGGCATTTTGGAGACTGCTGAAGTTAGCAAGTCGCTTACGGAGATGTCCCATTCTGTGGCATGTTGCCAACCAGATCATCAAACTTTCATTGTATACTCACACAATGCTGCATTTGTTTACAGGTCTCAGTGTTGCCGTCCTGCTTTCGGGAAGCAAACCTGTGGTATTATACGCTGTGGTATTATACGCTGTAGGTTTAAGGAAGCGAATCTTCTAGAGGAAAAATATATTTTCTCCCATCTCCACGAGTTTCTGTTTTGTCTGCGTTTCTTTACTGTGTTGCTTCTTGTCCACTCCATGTGTTTATCTCATATCTGGTAAATGGAGGCTTCAACCCACACGGATGTTACTACAGAGTCTTTGCCGATCGGGATTGCGGTTGGTCGACTTGTTCTAAAGCTGAATGCTCAGCATCCATCCATCTTCATCTGTCCTCCAACTCAAATGCAGCTGCATATCATTCCATTGTGTGTTTACTTCCAGTTATTCATGAGACAGACAGTTCCTCCGTTCATCAGGCCTGATAATCTATGTAAGAGATGGGGGTTGGGTCTGTGCCCGTACTCGTCCGTCACTCTTTATACGGATGCCGTGACCTACATGCCATCCCCATAGCCACCTCTGCTCCCGGGGTCAGGGGAGTCCAGACGCTATCTGACCCGTTTTTCCGCAGCATGGCTCTCTTCACCCACTCAGTCCATCCAGTTTCTCTCTCCCCTGAGTCTCCTGGCAGTTAGTAGTAAGTCATAGGAAGTCGGCTGGATCTTTACTGTCTTTTGGAGCTCAAGGCCACACATGGTTCTGGTCTTTCAAGACTTTAGAAACTTAATTCACCTGACCTAATATACAGTAAGAGCAGATGCAACATAGAATCAGGCTTCTGGTGTAAACAGATGTGTTGTGGAACATTAATTCACTTTCACAAGTGTATATAAATAAGCCTGGGTGCTTTCTGCCATGTTAAAATGCTCTCCTATATATGGAGTTCCAAATTAATGTTTGGGAGAAGCTTGTGTATCTAGTCATCAATCATAACACAAGGCTGTTTAACTTACAGCTGTGATAATTCATCTAGCATTTGACTTGTTTTGTTTAGTTTTTGTTAAAAGTGTAGAAAAATTTTACCTGTAATATAAATATCACAACATGAAAGTAACAATCTGTTATGACACTTTTACCAAATACTCAAATACTTTTACCAAATGTTGCGATTATTTTGTCCATGTACCAATTTAATATGTATATATTTTAAACACTGTAATATAATTAGATGAATCATGATTTATTTGTTTCTTTGAATATGAATTGGCAGTATTTTTGAGTTTGACAGTAAAAATCACTAAGAGTTTGACAGTAAAAAAAAAGTGCATTGAATTCAAATATTATGAAAGCGTAACCATACTTTGTGATCCATGTCATATCACATGGTCCAACATAGTTCTGTAAACTTTTTAACATTCATTAGATTTTCAGCATGATGTTCATTCGTTTTTGTGTTTTTTTCCTTAGGAGAGGAAAGAAGCACAGTATACTCCTGAGAACACAGCTGTCTGTCAGAGTCCATGCCTGCATAGGTGAGTAACAAGATGCTGTTTCCCTGTAATTAAACTATAAATGGTGAGAAAAAAAAACATTTTGTACAATGTACATCATCATCCTTTTAAATTTCTGGCTCAGTCAGCAGATACTGGCTGCATCAGATTGTTTAGGAATTATATTCTCATTTGTTGCTTGTTGAATGACGGATGTGTAAATTATACGTACCGAGGCCCCTGCTTGATTTTAACTGTGTGGTAAAGTTTTCCTCTTGCTAATAGGCCCTCACGCCGCAACATTTATGATCTAGTTTAAATATGTTCCATGCTTGACTTCTCAATTGATATAAAACAGCTAATGTAGCAACTTTATATGAAAGCCTGGGTAGTGCTTTACACACACACACACACAAGTTGTGTCAAGCGTATTGGAGTTTAAAACTTTAAAATCTAATTCCGTTTTAGGCTTTTTAATTTATAACCTGTGTGATCAGTTTCAAAAACACTCACAAATTTGCCATGGCAACATTTGTCTGCCAGAATATAAAACATAGATGATAGATAGCATGTTTGAACTCACATTATCTTACATAGTTACTGTATATTTCTTCACAATCTTGTTGTTTATCTCATGTCCCTAAACCCTTTGACAGAATCAGGCTTCATTACCTCCATAAGCCTTATCCCAGATTAACATCTGTGTCATTGTGTGGAAGCAGGACTGCTATGGCAATCTCTGTGTCATGAAGGATTAAGTGTCACAGACAGCACCCACAAAACCCATTAAGCATATAAACTGTGTTGTTTCTCTGGAAGTGCAGTATGCATGTAACTCACTTCAGGGGTTTGTTACCTCTGTGACTCATTGTCTCAGACAGCACACCCACAAACCATACATTATATGGACCGTCTGATGCTCAGTGGACATAAAAATAGGTTTTATCGGTGTGCTTGGAAGTTGTGTTTACAAGTTATCAGGCTGCTACAAATGCTGGGTTTCCATCCAAGTGTGTTTTTGTGAATTGTGAATTCCAATAATGATACGATGTCTCAGTATCCCATTGTATGCTATTGTTTTATGAATGCGTTTATGAATTTGTGGAGTTAAGTTATATTAAAAACTATAATTTGTATAAGAAATCTTATATAAATGTATAAGAATACTTTCCCAGTGTCGACAAATTCCCTTTCTGTTTGTATTTAGCAGCAGGTTTATTGGAAGTGATGATTTTGATTTATTTATTTTGATACTTATTTATTTACCTTGATATGTGGTGAAATCACAGTTTTATCCGCAAAATTGTTTTTGCAATACTCAGTTTATTATGATTATTATTATTATTATTTTATTTAAATTTTCTTAAATTCATAGCTTGGAAACATATTTTATTACCTCGGGAAAATTTGTCTTAGAATTATTATTAAATATGCTAAATGTAAATAAAGTTTTTTTTTGTGTGAAGTACACGTTATCTTTAAACATCTTACACCGTTTAACATCTTTAACATGTTAACATGTTTAGGTGTTAACATCTAACACCTTTTCCCTCAAATACTGGATAGATAGATAGACAGACAGACAGATAGACAGACAGACAAATTAATTGTGAAGTCCACTTTTTTTTGTAGTTTACTCAAAATGTCTTTCTATTGTTGCCTTTCTATTTATTAAGATTTTTAAGCTGTGGTGCTTTAGTTAGTGTACTGACTGGTTATGATTACAGCATATTCAGTTTTCATCATCTTCTCTCTGAGAAGTTGTAGTTTGACAAATTTAGTGAGATTTGTGACATCAAATATTCAAAAGATTCAATAGTTTTATTTGAGATACTAGAACACCTTTACTTTAAGCTTTTAAAATCATCCGATTTCACATTTATCCACCCTTAAACGTCATCTACAACTGCGGTTGGCTGCTTTACTTGTCAGTCAGTTGGTCTTTTCATGTTTAAATGGGCGTTTTTTGGCTGGAATAATCCGCAATGTGGACCAGACTTCATGCCGACAGTCAAACGTCTAAGTGATTCACTGCTGTTGTCTACAGGAACTGGTAGTCAGTGTTTAAGACAAGTGTGTGTCTGTAGCGAGCAGTATAAACTTAGTGGCGTGCTGCACTGCAGCCAAGCACACGTGGCTCGTACAGTTTTCCCTCTCCAGACTGCAGGGGAAAATATAACCGTCAGCCTGCAAAAGCCATTAAGCTTAGAACTGTCAGGTTTTAATTTGTACGTTTCGCAAAAGTGTTATTTAAGGATATCAGGGACAAAAATTGCCCCATGAAAGAAGTGCAGTTATCTCTCACAGTCAACTCCATTTACTGATCCTGCGTGCCTGAGGGATTGCGGAAACATTGGGAAACTCCAAAGTTGTTTTGCTAGGGGTATTTTGGTCCAAAAATAAAGTTGCTGAAACTCCTGGCAAGGTCTGAGAATCTGTTGAGAGTGATTTTACGAACCAGACCTGCTCAGACACCTGCCCATGAATAGTTTTCCCTTTCGTTCTCGTGCAATTTGCGAACCATGAAAGAGGGCAGCAGCTTAGCACAAGTACCTCTTGTAGCAAACCCTTCCGAGAAGCTTCACCTATCAACAGCTCTGAATGTTTGGTTATTGATTTATGTCTTGATAACATACTTTGAGTGACTAAGTTGTTTATCTCTGTGGAATCAATGTTCCGTATCTACGATTTCAACCCGTATGGAAAAGGCAGCTTGATAAGAGAACCACTATGCTTTGCAGATGTTGCCTTGCCTCTCTACAGCTTGTTGAATGTTATTCTGCCATTCTATCCTCTGTCCCGGGACCTGTCCTAAACTACGCTGCATTCCTTGTAGCAATGATGGGATCGCTTTTCTGACCAGCTGTGTGCTTGTGTGATTGAAGGCCTATCTGGGTCAAAGGTGGGTCCTGTGTGTGGGAGGTAAGGGGTTGGTAAGACTCTCTCTTGCTCTCTAAGCGGATGACCCAAGATGACAGCTGCTGCTCTTCAGGCTTAAAGTGTCTTTTAAAGTGTATTTTTTATGTACTGTTTTATAGTATTTATTCAAATTTTGAATTGGGGTTTTATATTTTCAGTTTTCATTTTATTTTTAGTTTGTTTTGGTGATATTATGTGATTTTTTAAAATTAGTTTTACTTTTTTTATTTAGCTTTAATTCATTTCAGTTTAGTAATTTTTAGTGCTTTTACAGTATTTACCAATTTTATTTCAGTTAGTTGCCAAGGCAACATTTCATATTTTCATGTAGTTTATTCTTGTTGAGTTGACTTTTTTCATCATTTTATTTTATTTAAAAAAAATAAAAAAAAAATTCATTAAAATAGTTTTAATCGTTTTTGTTTTAGTTAAAAATAACAGCACTGGTTAATGTTAATAAAAGTATTTTAAATGCTCTGTGGTTTACATTGTTTTTGAGTGAAGGAAACAATCAGTTTCGACATTCAGTGTTTGAATTTGTCAGACACATAACTTTATATAACTTTAATAAGCTCTGTACATAATTATAAACTTGTAATTTGTAATTTTATTACTGACTATTTATTGCCTTTTTGAAGCAGTTAATACTCCTCAATTAAAAAAAATGCATCGAAATGCATATTGCATTCTAATAAATTCAAATATTAAATTCATCCATTTTACATGATTTTTTAAAATTTCACATTCTTTGTTAAAAAGCTAGTATGCATCGTGGTGGTGTTAAAATTGGTCCTGGTTTTTCCAGTTAGATCAATTACAGCCTTATTTGTCTCTGCATGAGAACTTTGGGAGTTGAAATCAACTGCAGTTTTTCGACTGCAGGTTTTATGTGACGTCACAGCTGTGGGTTAATCATGTATTATCATAATTTGTCTTAAATAATTTGTCTGTTGATCCACTAATCCATCATAGAATCCCAATTTTCCACCAGTATTTTGGAAACAGGGCCTTTCAACCCCCTATATAGCACTTTTGGTCATTTTCAGCTCAGTCCAAATTAATTGCTAATCTAAAACATCTCTTTTCTGGGAAAAAAACAGTGTCGCCACAAAACATTTATTTGTAACAGTAATTTCATGCATAGAGAGATGCATATACTTCCCATAAACATTGCCCGTCTGCAATATCTTCCGTGAGGTCTGGCCGTGCTTTTGATCGCACATTCGGGGCCTTTTATCTTTAGTTTGATGAAAGGAATGAATTCAAAACCACCATGCTGCTGCTATTCATAGCAGAACTTTACACACCACACCATCATAAATCAACTCACCAGAGTGAGCTGTCAACAGACCTAATGACACAACGCCATGCACTTGTCTGGGCTTATTAGTGAAACCTGTTGCACTTGTGCATGCCTGATTTATATTTTCCATTTCTATGCTAACCACTTCATTAAATGACAGGAGTGTTTGGCTACTGCTGTGCCCAGTATGGTTTCAATGACCTCCATGTTTTGTCTGTCCATCATTATTATTATGGGAAGTTACATGGGTCAACTGTGTAAGCGTGAGTCTAATGGGCTCTAGACCAGGGTTTTAAAAAAGTTTTTGGTGCCAAGGACCCCAAAATATGATAGGTATCCCTTGTGTGGGATCCCATTCTTAAAATGTAAAGGCAGTTACAGTATACAAATAAAGTAATATATGAGAAAGTCAATAAAAGTAATTGAAATTTAATAACCAACTTTTACATTGTCATTCAAAGCAAGATATGTTAAATTAGTATCTGGAAATATTTACATTTTAGGTTGAATTTTCATTTCGTTTCATTAAAAATATGTATTACATAATAGAAATAGAAATATGATGTAGTATTATATTAGTATATATATATATATATATATATATATATGAAATAGGGAATGAAATAGAATTATCAAATATTCTGAATGTATATCTTTTTTTTTAAATGATTTTTTTTTTCATCAGTCAGGTAACACTGCTGAGTAGAGTTTGAAAATATATACTTTTGCACGTGCCTGGTCAAATAGTAAATGTGCATTATTTTTACGCCAGCGACATGCAGTCTGTGAAAATATTAACCAGAAATATATATTTTTTTGA